CTCACACCTTTATCCATTCACTGGGGCATTTGGGCTGGTTCCAAGATTCAGCTATTACAAACCATGCTGGTAAAATCATTGGTGTGCATACATCACTGTGGTATGATACTTTTAATTCTGTCAGAAAGATACCAGGAAGGAGAATAGCTGGGTCAAATGCAACTTCTATTTGGGTTTTTTGAGAAATTTCCACACTGATTTCCATAGTGACAGTATCAGTCTATACTCCCAACAACAGTGGAGGTGTTCCTTTTTCCCCACAGCATGCATAGCTAGCATTTGTTATTGGTAGATTTCTCTCTCTCTCTCTCTCTCTCTCCCTCTCTCTCTCTCTCTCCCTCTCCCCCCCTCTCTCTTTCTTTTTTTTGAGACAGGGTCTCACTATGCAGTTGAGACTGAACTGGAACTCACTATGTATGGTCTCGAACTCACAGCAATCCTCCTGCCTCAACCTCCCAAGTGCTGGGATTGCACCAACATGCCTGGCTGATTTCTTGATAATAGTCATTCTTTCTGGAGTGAGATAGAATGTCAGTATTGTTTTAATTTGCACTTCTCAAATGATCAGTGATGTTGAACGTTTTTTCATATATTTATTTGCCATTTCTACTTCATCTGAGAAGTTTCTCTTCATTTAAGATGCCAAATTTTGGATTGGGTTTTTAAATTTGGGGAATCTGATTTTTTGAGTACTTTATATATTCTACATATTATTCCTTTGAGGAAGAGCTGACAAAAATGTTTCCCACTTTGTAGGTTGTCTCTTCACTCTGTTGGTGGTTTGTTTTGCTGTATAAAAGCTTTTTAATAAGATGAGATCCCAGTTGACTCGTTAATATTTCCTGTGTGTACAGGATTTTGTTCATAAAATTTTTGCCTACACCTATGCATTCAAGAGTTCTACCTATTCTATGTTCTGGCAGATTGTTTGTTTTAATATTTAGATGTTTGATCCATTTCTATTAGTTAAGTGCATGGTGAGAGACATGGGTCTAGGTTTAATCTTCAGCATGTGGAAAGCCAGCTTTTGCAGCACCATTTATTAAAGATGCTATTTTTCTTCCAGTAAGGTTGTTTGGCCCCTTTGTTAAAGGTAAGGTAGATGAATGTGCTAGTCTTTTTCTGCATCGTCTCTTTTTTTGTACTGGGATCAAACTTGGAACCTTGCACTTATGAGGTAGGTGGCGGTACCACTGAGCTAAATCCCAGCCCTTTTTCTGCACCATCTAATCTGTTCCATTGATCTGCAGGTCTTTTTTTTTTTGCCAGTACCATGCTATTATTATCATAGTAACTTTGTAGTACAAACCCTTGACTTATGAACTTTTTCATTCATATCTCAAGTTGGTTCTAAGTTGAGTACTTTTCCCATAAGAAATAATGGAAATATGCATTCCAAATCTCCCAAAACACCCCTTAACTGACATTTTCATAATAAAAAGGTTGTATAATGTGTGTAATTTACTAGAAACATCAATAATTTTCCTAGTCTATTCACCATAAATTTATAAAATGTCCCTAGTTTACTAGAAATAATTTCATACTGTACTTACTATTCAGTTTGACATCTTCGGCTTGCAGAAGGGAGGATGAAATGGAAGGTGGTATGGTTTGAAAGGAGAGTCTCCTTCCATAAGAACATCAGGAATTGGGCTCTTTGGTGTCCTTTCCTTGGGAGAGTCTTTAGCCCACTAGGACCTGCTTCTGGCTCACTGGGTCTCAACTAAGATTCTGGTTGTAACTCAAGACTTTGGTCATAAGTTAAAACTAAAATTCTGGTTGTAATCCAAGTTGTTCATGTGTGAAGCTGGACATAACTCGAGGGTCCACTGTAATTTATGTATAGTAGAAGGTTATATTGGTAAGTGTAATAATGATAATTTTTGACTAACTGGTAACCTCTATTCTTTAAGGTTCCAATAGTGAAAGTTTTGCTTTCTCAGTACAGTTAATTGTGTTTGATTTTCATTGAAATTCTTACATTCTAAAGCTAGATTTATTTTAGTTTGCCAGCATTATCAGTATGATTCTAAAATGGTGCCAATTTGTGAAATTGATTAGAATATTTCAGATGAAGTTTATGTGGAAAATATCTTTCAAAAGCATAAATATATTCAAATATTTTCTTTTAAAAAGTTGGCTTAAATGTATTTTTTTTCCTATCACAAATTCTTCACCCCTCTAGAGTTAGATGGTAAACACTGAAACATGCTACTATGTGATCATTAATTGTGATATGTCAACTTGCCTTGAGTAAGAATCATCTACAAGATTAGTAAAACACAGTTCTGTGTATGTCTGTGGATGATTGATATGTAGGCAAGTAAATTGAGGGGGAAAAACCCACCTCACATGTGGGCAGCATCAACCAATAGGCTTGTAGTTTGGAGAAATAACAAGGGAAAGAAGGAAGTGTCCTGTTTAGGATGAGCACCAATCTTCACCATCACCTTTGGACACTGGTTTCCAGTTTCTTCAGACTTATACATTTGCACTGGTGATTCTACAATGAGCTTCCAGGACTTTGGCTTCGGACTGGTCCTGCATCACTGATCCCTCTTGTCATATAGCTTCCATCTTCTTGGGCCGAGTAGAAACTGGATCCTTTGGCTTTCAGTGTGCAGAGATCCATTGTGAATTCTTCTGCTTGTCATCCTGTAAGCTTACCTGCTAAATCCCCTTGCATAATAACATGTATATTTTCTACAGATTATATTCCTCTAGATAAACATAATATGAGAATGAATATTTGAATATGCAATGATAAACTAACTAGTTTTTCAAAGTCACTACTTATGGTGAAAAGATTTGAAAACTTCTGTTGCTTATAACATGAAAAAATTCCTTTCAATATGTTTACCTGTTTTTATGTAAAGCATTATACATATATCCTTATTTATATCTATAAACTGAAGTTTCCTCTTAAATATCTATGCCTTAAATTTACTTGGTAAACTTAAATCAAACAAGATTCTCTCTCTCTCTTTTTTTTTTTTTTTTTTTTTTTTTGGTACCAGGGATCAAACTCGGGTCCTTTCTCTTGCAAGGCAGCAGGCGTTGGCACCACTGAGCTAAATCCCTGGCAATAAGCTTCTTATATAAAGTGTTTAAATTACTTTTTTCATCTAGAAAGAAATGAGTTGTATTTTTTTCCCTAGTATGATAGCATTTTTTATGTTGTGTTTGTGATGGGAATTTAAGATATTTGTAACTCATTAATTGTAATACATGAAATGGAATTTGCAGAAGAGATATTTGAAGTCTTTACCTAGGACAAAGTAAATATTTTTATATAAGCTTAATTGGAATAAAAAGACTTCTTTCTGGTTTGGTATGAAACCTGACCTTTACGGGTTGGGCCTTTCCCAAGTGATTCAGGTGCATCATTGTTACTTAGTCAACAGTGACTCCTAAAACTTCAGTTTTCAATGATCTGAAATTTGAATGACTTCTGCCATTCTGTCTGCAAATGGTGCATCTCTTTAAGAAATACCTACTGGGGCTTTAGTTAATCAGGATTTCTTCAAATACTTTCCTAAGGGTAATAAATGATTCAGGAGCTAGTAGGCTACTATGTTATTTTCTCAGGACTAATGTATTCTTTTTTTCAGATGATATGTATATGGAGAATTATAAACTGTTTTTGGTATAAGAAAAAAGTAAAACCAGAGGTCACATCACTCTTAAATATATAAAGAAAATACCGCTTTAATAGTAGAAGATATGGGAGGCTGAGTAGAGAACAAAAATGACACAGTGCCATTAGGCTGGTTAGTTTTCTACCTAAAAGCTATTACTGTTTATTTCCCAACTCATACTCATGTAGGGACATAAGAAAGAAATACTGAATACATGGAAGGGGATGTTCAGAAGATGAGCTGTTACAGAGTCTAAATATCACATATAACAAAACCCTGGAAGTGAATAAACTCTACTATACCCCTGTGAAATGAGATGTACAGAAACTTCTATCAAAGTAGTCAAAAATTTAGGCTTTAACATTGTTTAACAAAATCACAGTATGGAAAATAAAGAACATTTTTATGTACACACTTTTAATAAAGGACCTGGGAAGGTAAAGCTGGCCAGCATTTGTCAATATTCCTGCATCAACTCACATGGTTTTAAGAATACTATATACAGTCACTTTTGAACAAACTGGTGAAAAAAAATGATTTGTAGCAAATTGGCAACTTGAATTTAACTGCTGAGGCTCTCAGTGCTTTTCTTCTTTTGCTCTCCAATACATTTCATATATTATCAAGACCCAGTCCCAGCTTTCCTGCTGCGTTCCTTCAGTAATTTAGCCAGCAGGGCGAAAGCAATTATTCTCTGAACACATCTTATCATATTATCTTTTCTTTTAATAATATTTCCTACTAAGAATCTGTTATCTGTTTTAACTCATTCTGCTAATGGCTGTGTACCAGGCTGTTCCAAAGAAAACGTTTAATCGTTTTAAGTATGGTGCAGGAGACAGCCCTAACCCTTTTGAGAAAGTAAACAAGTCATGGGCTACATGCTTTTAGAAGCTACCCGATAATTTTTATATTACATAACAGCCACATGCAGATCGTTACAATTTAATATGGCACATTACAACTATGATTAAAGAAAATGCAGATGTACCATACCTTGTCAACCGTTTCCTACTCATTGGATGGAGCTCATGAATTTTCTGAGAACGTGGGACTTGTGCAAGGGTCTGATGATCTTGTTAGATGCTTTCTGTGCCTCTGCACAGAACATGTCTTTTACATTAACGGAGACTTTTGGCCACTCTGAGAGCAGAAGTTTAAAATGTATAAAGGAAACCTTTTTCAGTTGTTATGATTGAATTTTTTTCTAAAAAAAATTAAATTTAAGGAGTGACAGAAAGTCACTCCTTAAAGTATTTGTTGTTTGTGACTAGACAACCCTCTTGGGGAGATGCTTGAGAAGTGTGTGTGTGCATGTACATATGAGGGTTTTTTTTTTTTTCAGTATTGAGGTTTGAGATCAGGGCCTTCACACTGAGCTACATCTCCAGTCCTCTTTTCTTTTTTTTTTTTTGAGAAAAGGTCTCAGAACATCACTAATTTACCCAGATTGGGTTTCAACTTGAGATCCTCCTGCCTCAGCCTCCCAGAGTGCAGGGATTACACACATGAACGACCATACCGGGCTGTGCATGTGCACATGCATGTGAGTATACATAACTATGTATAATGTAATGTGAAAGAGATATTCCTGTGCATTAGGTCCTTGTACATTTGAGGTCTAAAATACAATAATGGGTAGTCATACTTGCTATGACGGTGCCTAAACCTCTTAAATGTGTAGAGTTTGTGCAATTTGGTAGAAACATGGGGAATCACATTGTTTTACTGACAAAAACAGCCCTGAGATTAGGCTTTACTGGTGCTACAGGAGATTATGGCACTGGCCAATGCCATATAGGGGGAAATTTGTGTGTCACACAAGGCCAATGGGAAAAAGAGGCACATACTGAATTTAAAAATAAGACTTGCATAAATTGCATACTTTAATATTTTGGACAAAGTTGGACTGTTTTGGAACATGATCCTATCTTAATTGTTATCCGTGTTCTAAGCTGTTCCATGGTAATTCCACTACTAGGAAGTCAAGTCATTGTGCACTAGACACTGTAACTGTGAGCACATCTATGTGGTCTTGGACAGCACTTCATCTGTTTCTTACCCTCAGTTTTTCCAGCTCTACCACAGGATAAATAATTTCCATTCTGTCTCTTTCCAAGGACATTGTTGGAACAAACAGAAGAGCATTAACGGAGTACTCTAAGCCTTTCAGGCAAAAGTCAGCAATGAAAGAGCGGAAGAGAGACTGAAGCATATTACTCAGAAATACTATTATGGTCAAATTTTTCATCCCAGTGCTGCAATTAAAGGCATTTAAGAACACTAGGGACTTACATAGCACCTTTCAGATGTAGGATCTTAACAATGAATACTTTTATGTCACAAATGGGAAAGATTACCCTAAATTAAGAAATGAGATTCCCAAAGAGGTTATTGGACAAGGTTCCAAGGAAAAAACCCAAGGAGCTAGATCATGGCATGCTTATTATTAAATAAACCTCTCTGGCTTCTTGATCAATAATCAACCAGTTGAATGCCTATGTATAGCAGTCAATACTCAAATGATCTACAAACAGGGATGTTATCAGTCTATAACTTAGTAAGATCAAGGTGCTAAAATAGAAATACTGTTTCTTTTTTTGTCCAAGTCCCCCAGTAAAACTCTGATTTATTTGGCCTTATGGAAAACAGTAAACGTCTATAAGACATTAAACAATGTTTTGCATCATAGCTACCCAGAGATTTACCTTTCCAGGGCTTCCCTGTAGTTTGCTGACAATGTCTTTTGTGACCTGATTTGTGAGAAAACTCAGTGCTGATATACTCTATGTAGCAGAGAAGTTCTCCATGCCTTTCTAATTTTGAATCATAGCAGCTGTTCGGCCTAAACTCTTGGCAGAAGGTGACGGATGGGAAAGGTGAAGATTGCTTTGAAGCCCACTCCGTGTGGAGTAAGTAATGTGCCTCCATTTACATAGAGAGGCATATTTATATAGGAATAGAAGACAAAACTTGTCCATCATAAAACCATGCAGATAATTTCAAGAGAAACCTGAAGAAGAGAAATGTTTTAGAAGGAGAATGAATGGGGGAAATCTTCCAATTTGAACATGTAAGATTTCATCATGAAATCCAGTATTCAAGTCTTTAGGCTGTTCCTTAGCTTTTGAGTTTGAGATACAATCCCTGACTCTTGGTCCTAATAGATTTAGTCATATCTGGTTTCTCTCAAATGAAATTCTGACCAAAATCCATTTATTTTATGCTAAAAGTTTCACTTTGGTCAAAAGTACCGATGGGGTCCAAAGAAATAGGCTTTGCTATTGCTTTAAGTAGCTGGATTGCTCACTTTCTCAGTTGCACTGGAGCCTTAACACTGACTAATCTGTGGCAGGCAACTAACTTTTTTATTCAAAAAGATTTCAGGAAGGATAATTTAGTAAATCTTACCATCCTACTAGAGGCTCAATTCTTTGATGTCTGCAAGATGCCTCTAACTTCCACTGCTCACTGTAAGACTTGGGGCTATTATTGTCAGCAGCTGGGCACTCCAGCGCTGGTTGAAGTGAGAAAAACATTAATACTCTTAGGTATTATTATAAAGAAGCATCATTAGTGTCCATACTCATTGATTCAGGCACTGGGAGTGAAAGAAAAGCTGATTATAAATAAATGGGGAAATGGATATAAACTATCTTAATGGCTGAGCTGCCATTAAGGCTTGAAAAAAGGATCGACATACCACTGTTCAGTTATCACTAACTGTACATTAACTCCCTCTGTGAAAACACAGATCTTTTGTTAATCCTCAGCTAATGTCATCTGTGAAACTTTACTCCTTTGAACAGTACTGTAATTAAACCCGAAAATCATCTTTAAAACCTTTTATAAAAGCGATGGCCCATAACTTAGGCTTATTGTCTTTCCTTCATCATAAAAGTAATACATAAAAGGTTAAAGTAAAGCTAGACAGCAAAGGAATGAATAAAAATAATTGGAGAATTTTACCACTGCCTGGCATTAGAAGTCTTTAAAACATGTTATGTTTAAAGAAGTAAAAATCTAATGTGATCTGATTTGATCTTGTATTTTAGCTATAGTGCTTTCAAGATCCTCTGTGAAAATTTTTAGTTTGAGGACTTTGGTCACAGTGTATTGAATCTTCCTCTCAAATTTTAGATATCTGACATAGGGAAAGTTCCAAGCTCAGCAAATATATAAATTTCTATTGGGCGGGAAACATGATTAACTAAACACCTTTGTTTTTTAAACTTTAACTTTCATGACATTATGGTAGAATTTTGTATAGCTAAGCTGCAAAATACATGTTCATAAATGCACATGCACACAAGCAGCAAAAGTATCCTGATTCCCCTCAATACCAATAGACACTTTAGATATGATAGTATTTCTGGGAGAATTCAGACTCAGAAGAAATCTTTTAACTTCCCTTTTGCCTGAAGAGATGAATATAAAGATATATATTTTACATGGCTTGCATGGAATGAGAGAAGGGTAAGAAAGAAAGAGAAACTAGCTTAAAAGTACTTGTTGCTAAACTGGAATTTAGTCAGTAAATTAAATAATTTTTAAAGTCCCGAAACACCTGCACAGGAAGTATTTGATGAAATGCTTTCAATTTGTGAAGATTTCAATCCAACATGGTGACTTGTTTTGAAGATTAGAATGGTTTCCAACATTGAATTCTGTAAGTCTCATGGGAGATAGTGGGTCCTGGGAATGAAAAGAAGAAATTCATGGGTGAGCTGAACAAGTGTAAATATTCACAAGGTAACAGTACATTGACAAAAATATGTAACAGTTAAAAAGTACGTTCACAAAGGATAAGAAATAGTATTGAAAAATGTTAAGTGAAAAGGGCAGTATGTAGAAATATATACACACTGAAGATTGAACTCAGGGTTGTTCTACCACTGAGCTACAACTCCAGCCATTTCTATATTTAAAAATTGAGAAAGGGTCTTGCTAAATTGTTATTGAACTTTTTATCCTCTTGCCTCACCTCCCGAGTAGCTGGAGTTACAGGCATGTGCCACCACCCCCATTTTACCGCTATTTTCAACTCAAAAATTGCATTTGGAATTAAAAACAGTAAAGTCACTAAATTGTTGAAAGTAGTAGACTCATGAGTAATTCATTTTCATTTTCTCTACTTTCTATTTGTATTTTCTCCAGTAAAGAGTTGATAATTTGGTAATTCAAAAATGTTTGAGAAATCTATATGGAAATAATATGAGCTTTGAAACTGAACAATTCTAAATTTAAATTCTAGCTTTCTACTTTAAATTTCAGTAACTCTGCCAAATAACAAAATGGACCTTAGTTTTCTCATCTGTAAAAGAAGCATAATAAAATCTACCTGAGGGAAGAGAATATAGTAGGCACTCAAGTAGCTATTATTAGTATTAACTTTTTGGAAAACAATTCAGTCACATACATTGAGTCTTTAAAAAGTTCATAAGAATAATTTGGCTTCTAGGATTCTATCCTACAGAAATGGTTACAAATGAGGGGAATGATTTCTGTTCAATATTATCCATAGCCTTATTACTAATACTGAAAAAACAGAATCTTAGTGTTGGACAGCAGAGAAATGGTTCAATAAGCAATAGATCCCTGCTGTAATGGGTAAGTCTTTTTGTATTACCGAAAGAAAAAAAACAATTTAAAACAGAACACAATAGGATCTCAATATATAAAAATATACCCACAAAAATTCTGGAAAGATACAAAAATGTTAACTCATTGCCATTAGGTGGTAGGATTATGAGTGATTTTAATTTTCCTCATACTGTTCTTCTCTTTTTCTTATTATGAGTATGCTTCTTATAGTTTTAAAAATTAATTCTAGCATGTATTATTATCCTCAGGTTATAGAAACAACACAATTCATCATAGAATTCTTGTAAAATATAAAAAAAAGCATAAGGGAAAATAATGGCCTATTATCTCACAGATGGTTTGTGATCTCCCTTCTTATCCATTCATCCAAAAAATATTTCATGAATACCTATTTATCAGGCACTGTGCTCTAGGGGCTAGTACTAAAATGTGATCAAGACACAATTACTACCCTGAAAGAGTTTACAATGAACACAGATATCTAAATAGCCTATTACTATACAGGATAAAAGTATCATGCATATTATTATGGTAGTACCCAGAAGAAGGTAGTATGTATGTATGTATGTATGTATGTATATGTGTGTGTGTGTGTACAGGCACTGTGCTCTAGGGGCTAGTACTAAAATGTGATCAAGACACAATTACTACCCTGAAAGAGTTTACAATGAACACAGATATCTAAATAGCCTATTACTATACAGGATAAAAGTATCATGCATATTATTATGGTAGTACCCAGAAGAAGGTAGTATGTATGTATGTATGTATGTATGTATATGTGTGTGTGTGTGTATATATATCAAGCTTAAGGTGTGGGGGTGGGGTGGAAGAAGTGGAAGTTGTAAGCAAGCATCCAAGTCAATGAAAAGAGTAGGCACATGTTTGTGAGACTGAAAGAAGTCGGGTATGGTTCAAGCATAGAGTGTGGGATAAGGTTGGTGGAGGGGAATCTTAAGAGTTGAGAATAGTGAAAGATGAGCCTGGAAAGAAGAATAAGTGCTGGATCATGAAAGACTTGCAAACTTTTTTAAGGCATTCAGGTTATGCTAAGAGCAATGGAAGAACCAAGAACAAATGCTGAGTTTCTTATCTTTCTAGTTGCACTACAGAGAATGTATTGGAATTGGAACAAAATTGGAGATAGATAGACAAGTTATGAAGCTACTTCATTAATGACACATGATCTAGAATTCATGGTAATTAAAGCAGAAAAATATAAAGCCAGGCATGGTGGCGCACACCTGTAATCCCAGCACTTGGGAGGCTGAGGCAGGAGGATCGCTGTGAGTTCGAGACCAGCCTGGGCTACATAGTGAGTTCCACGTCAGTCTCAACTACACAGTGAGACCCTGTCTCAAAAAAACAAAAAAACAAAAACAAAAACAAAAAACAAAACAGAAAAATATGCACCTTACAGATGTATTTAGGAATTAAAAATGAAACATTGGTGATTAATTAGATGGGGAGAAAGTGAAGATGAGAAAGCGAAACAAGGAATGGATATTTTTGAGAGAGAGAAGTTGAAAGCCACTTCATTATTCAAGTATGGAGCTCAGGAGAAAGTGCGGGGCTAGAGACACATATTTAGAAATTATTTATATAAAGAATTTGAAACAAAATGAAAAAAAATGTTGGCACGTTAATTCTAAGTTGCAAGCACATGTATATTCATTTTATGTTTCATCAGTTAAAGATGAAAACTTTTCAAAAGAAAATAAAGGAAACTATACATAAAATATCTAATAATTTGGGCATGCATAACTTATTCAACTATGCTATTCATAGACATGCAAGTACTTTTCAGTGTGAAGATTTTACAAATATCACTGTAGCATTTATAAACATTTAAAAAATTCATCTTGATATATTAAAAAATTTCTTCTCCTCATTCTCTCTGTATTCCCAAACACTTTTATTATCATCAGAACATTATTTTGCTACTCCTCCAAAATTAATCAGTTAACTTATTTGGATAGAGTCCCTTGGAAAAGGAATTATTTAAAGGCAATTTTGCTTATTTAGAGAAGCATATACAATTATTTAATGGTTCAATATTCACACAAGATATTAGCCGGGGATTTAGCTCAGTGGTGCCGCCACCTGCCTTGCAAGCGGAAAGTGCCGAGTTTGATCCCCAGTAACAAAATAAAAAAAACAAAACTCAAAACAACAGCAACAAAAAACAAAAACAGTATTCACGCAAGATATTCTGAAAAAAAAGTTACACAGTCATAAATTTGGCAAGTAGCTTATTCCACTTTTTGGGATTCACAATGTTTCTTACTATATTAAGTGTCCTGACAAGTACTGCAATCAAGACAAGGTTCTCTGATCTGCATGAAAGGAATGATCCAACACTCAAATAATACATTCAATATAACCTCCTCTTCGTGAGTCACAAAACTCAATAGCATACTAAAAGGTCTGAGAATTCCTACACTAAACAGAATACTGCAATTTTGTTTATACAGTGTTTCCTGCATTTGTTCACCAGATAACTTTTATGTTTAACATCTGTCAATGTGTCAAAATACTAGTGTATCAATAGAATACCCTTAGCAAAAAGCATTTTAGAAAATGAGAGGAACACAATAGATAAGTAAAATCTAGATAATATTGCATTCAAATTTTCTTACCTAAACATTAAATATTTCATCAAGGCTTTGGATAAGAAAACAGATTTAATTTTTTTTTTTTTTGTACTGGGGATCGAACTTGGGACCTTGCACTTGCGAGGCAGCAGTGGTGCTACTAAGCTACATCCCCGGCCCTGTTTTTCTTTTTAATGTTTGATTATAAGTAAAGAAACATAGTTAATTTAAATATAGGAGAAACGCATGGTTTGAGGTTACAAAGCCCTGGGTTACAATCCTATGTTAGGTACTTACTGGCTGTGTAATTTCAGGTGGGTAGTTTACACCTCTCTGCACTTTGTTTTCTCATAAGTAAAATGGGAATTATAACATTTATCTCACAGAGTTGATTGAAGACTAAATGAGATGATATATTCCAAATACACAGCAAAAATGCTGGCATATAGAAGGTCTTACATTGTATCTATAGTTGTACACACCAGAAGTTCTATAAGGTAAAATATTGAAATTGAAGATCTAAGAATCACAAACAGGTTGAGAGGCTTCTGAATTACTGCTGTCTTTTTCATGGGAAAAGAACTGAAAGTCAGTGCTTTGACCTCCATGGTCTTTCTATAACTAAAAATCTTTTGATACTGAATTACACTGAGTTTATTTACCTGTGAATAAAAGAAGGCTGTTTAGTATTTTAGGCCAAAGAGAATCCCATGTATAAAACTGCCTACCACTATTCACAAATTAGTAGCATTTTAGAGGGTTTGGAGTGTAGAGAGGGTGCTTTTTGCCTGTTAATGGGTAAGAGTAGGTTATTAACTGACATAATGGAGACAAGCAAAAATAACCTATTTGTAACCTACATCATTTTAGAGACCTGGGATGCACCAACATAAGGTTTATAACTCACCATGTGAAAATAAATAACCTAAACAGAATGTTTGGCTGTTTTTTGATTCCCTGACATTTTAGCACAAGTGATGTAACTGAATTTGTGAGGAATAAAGTCATCTTTTCAATACATTGCACAGGAAAATTATGGACAGAACTTCTGTACATGCAACGGCAACAAAGAACTTACCATCTTGATTCCCAGAATGAGAACATCCTCCTTTTCTAAGTCAGAACTTAGAGGTCTGGGTAGAACTGAACATACCTCCTTCAGAATACTGACCTGTCTAAGAGATGGAGGAAATGTGAAAGCTGCTATGTTTCCGTCTCCAGAGCAAGAGATGACGAGCTTTCTTGGTAATCTGTAAGATTGAAAAGTGCAGGTGATTACTGTGGTTTGAGTATTTCCTTCAATGGTTCACATGCTGGAAGCTTGGACCTTGGTGTGATAGTGTTGAGGTGGTGGAACCATTAAGAGGTGGGACCTAGTGGAAGACAATGTAGTTCTCTGGGGATCTTGGTTAGTTTTTACAAGAGCAGAGTGTTTTAAAGCAAGGCCACCCATATGCTTGGTCCCTTCCACATGTGGCTGTTTCTGTTTTTGTTTGTCCATCATGTTGTGATGCAGCCAGGAGTCTTTTGCCATTACACTGGCACCGTGCAGTTTGAGCCCTGCAGCCAACCAGAACTGTGAACCAAATAATTCTTTATAAAGTACCCAGCCTCAAGTATTTTACTACAGCAACAGAAAGTAGATAAAGACAGTGATCCATGTGTATATATAAGTGGCTATGCATTCAGTGGCATTTCTTTCTTTGTCTGATCCCTGGAGGCATAAATATCTCCAAATCTATAAAGGTTCGGGTGCTACATGGAAGCATTTGTAAACAGTCCTGGCATTCACTTTCTTTTTTTTAATTCATTAAGTGTATTGGTACATTTTAGGCATACATTATGATCACATACATCATTGGGAATTTGTACCTGTACACGATATATCTTGGTTCTTGTTTTTTCCCCATTCCCTTTCTCTTCCTTCCAACCTTCCACCCCTGCCTATTTACGAAAACTTTGTTTCCATTTTTTCTCAAATTTTTTCTTTCTCTTTTTTCTTTCCCTTACCCACCCCTTCCTTTCCCCTTCCCCTTTGGACTCTTTCTTTCTATTTCACATTATCTATTATACATTTTAGTCCTCATTTACACTTTCAGTTTCTCACTGCAGAGAATCTATTTGGAATTCACACTGACATTCACTTTCTAAGAGCAATTAGCCTGCTATACTATGAACTACGATGATTTTATTTATCAGAATCATCTGATCTATAACACTGGCTAGTATGTGACTTAAATAGCTGTGGTGACAGCTCAACATTATCTAAATTTAATGGAATATTTTGAGTCTTGTTACTCACAAATTACCCTGTATTGCTGTTATTCTAACTGAGATAGCTATTGTAATAATTTAGATGTTGGTGTGTTTCTGAAAAGAACGAAGTATCCAGAAAATCAATCTTTGAGATTAACAAGTAACATCATTTATGATGAAAAATGTTTTTATTTCTGACTACATGCTTTTTGGAAGAGCAAAGTATACACTGAATCATCTGGCTTAATGCACAGATAATCACTGTCTTCATACTTATTACATGATATGTATTTGGCACTTTGAGATAAAAAAAATTGACAGTAGTCATTCCTATAGTTTCTGTCCAGTACATTTTTTTCTATGAAATGAACTTTTCATTCAGAGGGTCCCCAAGTGTGAGGTCTCTCATGACTGGTGCCAACCAGCGAGGGAGGGTTACTTTTGCCATGGTAAGCTGGCAAATTCTCATGCCACTCAATTAACCTGGAAGACTCCAGACAAAGCTGCTTTCTTCCACACTGTTGAAAAGAAAAAGTGGTTTTGAGCATGTTTATCTTTGGAACCATGATTGTATGACTGTATGGTAGGCAAAACATTCTGTCTTATCTGGAATCCCAGCTATCTTGGTCACTTTCCTTGTTGCTAGGACAAAATACCCAACATCCACAATTTAAAGGGAGAGAGATTTATTTTGGCTTACAGTTTTAGAAGTTTCAGTCCATGTTTGGCAAGCTTAAACAAGGAACAGCTATTCTAGGTGGGAGAAAGCTGCTGCCGGCCTGGCAGCCAGGAAGCAGAGAGAAAGCAGGAGCAGGAAGAGAGATATATATTTTCCAGGTCATGTCCGTAGTTACTAGCCTCTTCCAAACAGACCCCCACCTTTAACAGCAAGTTAGCTATATTGCTCCCAGGATTCAACCACCCTCCAAAAGCCCTGCCTATGAGCTCACGAGGTCTTTGGGAGATATCCTCCATCTAAACCATAACATTTGCCTTAGTGTAGTCTTGGAAACAGTGGCCAGGTATTCAGAGGGATAAGAGACAAGAATTTGTTTATCAAACAAATGGAAAAGGGACCAACAAGTACTTAAAGATATATCTCATCTCACTTATTCAACATTTCTAGCATGAAGGCAGTTGACAAAGGGAAAGGCAGTTCTGGGAGTGTGATTAAGTTCTTTGTCCTGCTGTTCCGCAGAAGTGATGCTAAATTTTTTGATGCTTCTTTGATGAAGGCTGGCTGTCTAAAAAATTTGTAAGTGTGGTTTGACAATGAACTTTTCCAGAAGTCGATTTTTACAATTTGGCTAAATGTGTTTTTGTTGTTTGTTTTACTTTTTTCCACTGCAACTCACTCTTGTATTTGGTGCAGAACATTGCCACCAAGCAATGCTTTGAAAAAAATTATGCAGTTGCGGACATTGATGTCGGAGCTGAAAGCCCTGATTATCAATTTCCTTCACGATTTTACTCCTCAGGGTGAGTTTAAGCTAAAGCTGCATAGGTAGGTGCATGTGGTGAAGACTAAGTTGAAAAAAATGCATATACCTCAAAAAGTGAAACTTGCAGACTAGAAGGTAAATGCAGAATTTATGAAGTCAATTCACCTTCTACCATTTGCACTAATCCTGCTTCCCCCATCCCACATACTTTTGCTGCCTATGCAGTAGTGATTTCCCCATTATCCAATAGATGTCGATTTGAATGAAGAACGATGTCATTTCAACTGTTAGTGTATCCTAGCTCAGCTCTGGATTCCTACCTGTCTAGTCTTAGATGTCTTTCTTTCCTTTAAAATTCTAGATTTCCACATAAGCTCTTGCTTCTACATGAAGCGACTATGGAATACATGTTTTTCTATCCACTGGTTCTCAGAGATTGACAGTGATATATGCAAAACCACATTTATAGCAGCACAGTTTGTAATAGTGAAATTTTGGAAACAACCTAAATACCCATCAACTGACAAATAGATCAAAAAAAGATGTGGGTATTTTATGTAACAGAGTACTATTCAGCCATAAAGAAGGGTAAATTAGACATTTCTAGGTAAATGGATGCACCTTGAGAACATACTTTTAAGTGAAATAATTCAAACATACATGCGTAAATATTTCATTGTCTCTCTGGTGTGAGAAATTGAAAGTGAAAATAAATACCGAACAGAATAATATAGTGAAATAGGAAGAAACTGTTCAAAATTATACAGAATGTGAGATACTTTGTGAATGCTTAAAATGTTTTAGGTTAAAAAAAAAGTATAGTATTATTAGAAAATGAGCTGAGGGTTTAGCAAATAAAAATACTTTTTAGATGCCGGGTGTGGTGGCGCATGCCTGTAATCCCAGCACACGGGAGGCTGAGGCAGGAGGATTGCTATGAGTTTGAGAACAGCCTGGGCTACATAGTGAGTTCCAGGTCAGTCTCAACCACATGGTGAGATCCTGTCTCAAAAAAAAAAAAACTTTTTAGATCATGATACACAGTGTATTTACCATTGTTATTCTCTAATCTTGTTTGTTATGAAAAATTACTTTATCATAGTATATGGCTTTTATATTTTCTTTAATAATATCTACTTTATTATATTAAAATTAAAAAGTTTTAAAAAGAAAGAAAGTAGGGACAAGGACAAGGACAGACACAATATGGAGTCTGGAAGAATTTAGGTTGAGTTGTGACTGCTTCTTGCTACTCCTCTCCCCATAGCCGCAGCCTTTTCATATGTAAAATAGGGGCCACATTCTGTCATTCACAATATTTTTGCTTAAGTACTCTGCAGTGAACTATAAGTGTTTTCTAATGTTCTCTTCTTGATCTCCCGACTTTCTCTTTCAACATTGGTTTCCTTGTCCCAAGAGATCCATGTCCATACTTATGTGATTCCAAATTTTCCATTTTATCTCCTTTCTCTAGTTTTATTCTCTCCCTTGATTATCCCCTTCACCTTTCATGGGTTTAACTGCCATCTCTATACGAATGACCCCAGATCTCTCTAGTTAATGGGACTATTTGTCTCTTGGCTTTAATATTTCTCCATTTCTGGAATCATCACCACGCATGAATCCACAAGGACACATATGCAGCTTTTTGTTGGTCTTTCTAGTTCTCCCCCCCATTCCAATTCATCTTGCACATCAGTACTCGAGTAATCTAAAATTTATCTTTTGTTATATCAATATCAAATCAAGACCACCAAATCAGTAGTTATTTCCAATTAAAACAAGTCTACAAAGCTTTTGCCTAGCTGGCCATATCTTATCTCTCTTAAGATTACTGCTCCAAGTCCACAATGCTCACTCTGCCTCAAAATATTTCTTTCCCTCCAGCATCTATCCTGATGTTATTTGTCCTACTTAAGTCCTGCCTCTTCTTCAAAACTCTTACTAGTATAACCATACAGTTTCTCTCTTGAATAATGTACTCTGTGTTTAAGTTTCACTAACAATAACACACATACCATATATATCACACAGTGCTTAGGACAAAGATAAGCCAGTATTAAGTATATAATTTCTAGCATTGCTTTTATGGAAGTGTACACATCATATCTTACGTGCACAAAAGACATGTGCTTATTTTTTCCTGTTATTGTGAATGCCCTGAGGGCAGAAGCCTCCTTTTACTTATCTTTATATCATGCCACAGAACCATATTTGAGGTATATCATCAGGAAGTTCTTTCTGAAAGAACTCATTGAAGACTTTATTACTTCAGGAACACACACTGATTCACAGCACAGGGCTGGGTACTGTAGGATACAATGGGGATGACTCACTTGTGGAGTACCTAGCTATTTAAGGGAGCAGCCCCTTCCTGACCCAATAAATGCTTGATGATTTGAGGGATGAGACCGAGAATTTCTATTCTTGAGCAAAGCAAAGGACAAGTATGACAGTAGGTTGTTTTATAGACTGGTGGCCAAAATGCTAGATAGAGGTGATAAGGAGGGAAAATTGTGCATACATAGAGAGAATACATGAAAAAGGTAATT